GGATCGGCCCGGACAAACAGTCAACCCTTATATTATCCAGGGCTCATTCACTGTCAGACACCATTCCCCAGGCCCCGCCATATAAACCTGAGGACACCTTGCACCGACGAAAATTGTTATTGTCTCGCAATTGGGACATCTTCTCTGGACGCTATCACATCCATCACCACCGCTCTCGGCGTCATGATCCCCACGAACTTCTCGGCCACGCTCTCCGCTAGTCCGACAAGATTTTCATAAATAAAACACGAAGAAACCACTCTAAATCAGAGAAAGATCGAAAGAAAGAAATATGATGCGATAATCTTTTTACCAAAAAAGACGGATCTACTCTTTCTTATAAAGACGTCGTCCTGCCTGTCAACAACACTAAATAAATATGAGACTTTCAAGAATACCTTTCATTATTGGAAGAACCTTTTTTCAGTCGACCAAGTCACCATCATAACCATTCTCATAATTGTAAAAGACGCAACCTCCTTTCCCTAAACAAAAATCCAGAGTTGACCCTTCAAAGTACCCGCTTGCAAACGTTTGAACTCGTTCCCACTCAAGAAAAATACACATAGCGTCCTGCGACCAGATGAAATTTTCGCCTGGCCTTAAGAACATGGGGGCCTTATGACGACGAGTATTATAATTTGTTCGAACTAAAATAAAGACCCCTAAAATAATTATGACGCTATCTTCAGTCCAACACACGCATCATTTCTGGAGGCCATATGACAAGGAATATTATAGTTAGAAGGAAAGACAATGATCACAAAGACATCATTCGCCAATAAGCCAACCTTGTTCCCAACCACGAGGCATACATGTCGATCCCTTCTAAAAGGAAGGTCGTCCTCTGTCGATCTCATCTTGTCAGAGCACGGTCCTAAGCCAATGTAAAAAGAGTTACCGCCCTGAACCAGTTCCCACTGCCTAAAGAGATAAGCCACTTGTTCATTTTGTCGTATAAGTGTCACATGTATCCAATTAGAAGCCACCACGTGTCTTGAAGAAATAATATTTAATCACCTTCCTTCTATAAAAGGAGGGGTCCAGAGGCCTTGAAGATCATCGAAAAATACACCCGAATACCCTCTAAATAAGATGAAGCTTTGTTGTAATCTTTCGCTTTAAGCTTTACTTTGCATTTCTTGTTCTTCTAGCCTTTTAAAGTCTGTATCCAAAAGAGGCCTGAAAGCGGCCCATCCTATCAATAAAAATCGCGGTGCCAGCGCCTTAATTTGTCGACAAATACGAGCTATATATTCTTCTTCATTTTTGCTGTAACTACGTTAAAATTCAGCCTGAACATTAAAATACCATATAATTACAAGGTCTTCGCCTCGATAACCCCATTGGCGCAAAGCCGTAAACACACGTCAACAAAAACTATCCACAAAAAATATAACATTATCAATAGTTAATGCAAAGAATAATAAAGAAACTTATGAAACTCCAAAACAAAATATACGATGAAATAATTAAAAAAATGAAGAAGATAAAATTATAAAACATGTCCAATAATTTAGAACTAATGATAATAATTTCCACTCAAATTTTCAATTATACAAAAAATTACTAACTAAATCGCTAAATTCCACTGAAAATATTATACAAAAAATTACTAACTAAATCACGAATATTCTGGCCAAATCCATGCTTTAGTGGTCTCTCTCTCTCTCTCTCTCTCTCTCTCTCTCTTAAGTTTTGCAATTACTTGGTAATTTTGTCTAATTTTTACATTTTTCATGAATGTTGTATTTTATTTTTATTAAATAGTGATGTTTTCATGTACTTTTTATCATGATTTTCACATCTCTTATATATAATTTCTGAATATGCTCAGCCTAAGTGGTAGACTCGCACACTTCTATGTAGCAAATTTTTAAGCTTTGTTGTTTGGATTAGATGAATTTTAATTTATTTTCAATCCAAAAGTAACTAGGCTTGAAAAATATAAATATACTGGATATTTATGATTGTTATTAAGAGTATTAATTATGTTAATAACTTCCTATTGTAGATGTATAAGATATAATTATTTTCCAATATTTCTTTTTTTTCTGATATCTTTTAATACTAACTTAAATTATAAATAAATTACAAGTTAACAACTTTTATATATAATATATCAAATTAATCATTTCTTGATGAGTTTCGATTTGACATATATATTATACATACAAAATAAATAAATAAATTTATTCATCTTTATAATTAAAATTAAAATTTACAACTAATATTAATTCAAAAAAAAATATATTGAGACTAACTTAACTACAAAGTAATTATATGATATAAATAAAAAATATAATATAAGATGGTAAGTCGTGTAAATGACGTTGTCATTTTAAATGTATATTTAAAAAAAATCTAAAATAATTCTTATTTTTATTATTATATTTTAAATATAATTTTCTAAACAAGTACCCTTGTAGTACATGGATATTGTACTAGTATTATCATTATTTGAAAATTATGTTGTAAGTTTCAATACATTTGACACAACTCATAAACCATTATAAAAAATTAAATCACATCCCCCTATATATAATTTCCGAATGCGCTGAGCCTACGTGGCTGCTTCTGGTTCTTCGAAATCATACTTGGCGAAGAATCATGCTTCGTAATTAGGTTTAGACAAATAATATTGATATATTAATAATTAATAACTAGGTTTGGACATTCCATAAATATTATTTAGCTAACTTAGGTATTTTAATATCTCGTGTACTAATATAACCCTTTAATTCTTTGTAATTTTATATATTGAGACACTAAGTGACTAATGTATCTCTGACTTTTGATTTGTTTCTTTCAATTAGCTATTGAATTGTAAATGTATTTTAAAAGTTGATAACTTTTGTACTTCTTATCAGTTTTACATATATAATATATCAAATTAATCATTTTTTGATGGTCTTTGATTTGACATCCATATTATATATATGAAATAAATAAATTATATTTATATTTATAATAATAAAAAATAATAATATTTATTAAAATTCATTAGAAAAATAATATTATTTCTCAATTGATATATTTATGTTTAATGTAGTTATATGTTGTAAATTAAAAAAATTATTATAATATAACACATGTAAGTCGCACAAATAAAAAATGTCATATTAAATATATAATAATATATTTATTTTTACAAAAGATATTTAAATTTTCAACTATCTTTTCTCATTACTTTTAGATTTTAAGAAAAAAATTAGCAAGCACCCGTGTAATACACGAGCGTTGTACTAGTAACAATATTAATAGTGTATCATGTGCATCGCACGCACACTTTAGTAGTAATTTTAAAAATGAACAACAGAAATTGATAAAGATATTGTTATAGAAAGAGGACCGATCAACATAACCAGTTTTGTTATGGAGCCATCGAATAACTTGATTTTAGTCATCTACACTTATTCACCAATAGTGTATTGACATGTGTCTTATAATAAATACAAACTGGACATGTATCAATATATTAGGTGATGGATGACTCCATATAAAAACCATCCGATGTGTCCATAGAATTTTTGCGAACACATATAATATCGTGTATAATGAAAACTTTCACAACTACTGATAATTCATTTTATTTTTTTATGTATTGCCAAAATTTAAATTTTATTTAATGCTTAGTATAATCAATTTGAGATCACCCGTGCACATAGAAATTAGAATAGCACAACTTTTATCAACATTCCCCACTATTGTAAGTTTTAAACTCATTCCCAGTTTGGTCCATGAACCTAAAATTTTCTGGATTTTGAATCTCCATATATCCACATTACACCATTTCTGTACAGATCCCAAAAAATACATACAAAAGCAGAAAAATGTTAGTAGCCAATGCGTTGACATCTGACCCAGAAAGCAGTTCCTCCGCTTCTGCCACGGGCAACCGCAATTTCTTCATCGATATAAAACCAAATGAAAAACGGGTCCTTGCTCCCTGGCTCCCTCTCATCTTTTCCTTTAAATGTGATCTCAAATGGCCCAAGAACACCAATTTTTATCCGGACACGTTCGAATAGGAACGGGAGTATTCTCTTTTTCCACGAAAGCCTGCCTTCAAACGTCAAACACCCAAGAGGCCCAAGATAAACCCCGTTCTCAATCCTTTTCCCCTGTAATATCAAGTGCTATATATCAGCCACCTAAAGTAACCAGCATTGTTGCCGATATTACTTTCGCATCTAATTGTGTTTGCTAATGTTGAAACCGAATGGTAATTGGTAGGACAAACTCTTGAACAGTTACAAAATGTTGAGAGTAAAGTTAAACCAAAAAGAGGAATAGTTTTGTCAATGAAAAATGGAAAAGAAGGAAGAATCGCCTCAGTCAATGATTTAAGCAACATTTTGATTGAATCGATTCTGTTTAGGTTGTGTTAGGAAGGAGATCACGACTCGAGATTTGGAACATTTCAAATATTATTAAGTGGAGTTTCTAATAACTGAAAAATAGCTTAAAGAGAAAGCGGTGAAACCTACAACTTTAAACTTTTCACACTAATTATGCGTTGTTGGGAAATTTGAAATGCCGTGCATCTATAGATCACTCAATCTAGACAAAAGCCTATTGATTACATAAACCAAATTTGTTGCACCTCTCATCAAGAATTTGACTATGCTTATGACCAATTATATCTCAGATATATAGAAAACCTGCTTCTTATTGTGAAGTGATTATAACAAAAGAACGTCAAATATACGCATATGCTAAAGTGCAGGAAGCTTACAGCTGCATCAAACCTCTGAACGGCTGTAATTGGGAAGTATTTACCACGCACTAGCTTTTTCTGCCAATTTGCATAAGTATCATCAGGAAAATAGAATATATATGTTTTTCACTGTAAGCTAAAGCATAAAAACCAAATAAAAATGACAAGCACAATACAAGACTGTAAAACTAATGGGAAAAAGTAACCTCTGCGGTAAAAACAAGCATCCAAGTCCTTCCAGGCGACTCGATTCCGCCAAGAGTTTCAAAAAACCCAGATGGATCAAGCTTTGATTTCTCAATCACGGAAAAAGCATGCAGAATCTCATCGGCTGGAACTTTTCTTGTCTTGGCTGCATACTTGAGCACTTTCACACACTCTTCAACTTCCTGAACATGATGAGTGTCATTGCACTCGATCAGTGTTGACTCAATTATCTCACCTTCGAATTTGATGTGACTATTCATGGTTTAAATTATTCTTGGACTACATTCTTATTCGCTAACATCATAATACCCTGAACCAATAACAGAATTTCGGGATACGAACCATAATGGATGTGATCTAATGATGATTCATAATAAAACGGAACTTGAGGCTAAGAATAATCCAACAAGTTCCATTCTACTCGAGTAGCTATTGGTTAATTTGGCAAATTCCATGAATTATAAATCGATTCTAAAACAGCCGTAGATGCTTCTGTATGGATGAATTCCTTAACTCAGCTACTGCATTGCTCACTTTTTGCACATAAGAAATTTCTAACAAACTGTATAATACCAACTTCACCGAAACTCGGTACATCTTTTGGTACTTCAAGCTCCCAACAGAACGGCAAATCACCGCAATATATGAAATGTCCGAACCAAAAACAACATAACTAATCTTGAATTCTTAACAACAGACTAAAATGAGCATTTCAAACATGATTCACAGCATCTGTTTAGAAAGAAGGTCCCGATTAATCATCACAAACATAAGTTAATATTACTTTAAAAACAAAAAAAAAAAAAGCAGCATTCTTGATCTTGTAAGAAGAATGATGAAATTAAAGTCCGAATACCTGATTGGGTTGCTCTTGTTGTGTTGGGTTGTCGTCGGCAAGGGTAGCTCTTGTCTGCGCAAAGAAGAAAGAGGCATGCGTTGTTGTTTTAGAGAGGATAATTGGGTGAGGTTTAAGGGGTTTAGGGTTTAAGGGTTTGTGAAGAGGCGGAGAGAGTGAAGGTAAGTGTGACGAATAAAAAGGAACGGAGCAGTGGGAGAGAGACGCCATTTCCGTTGTTCACTCACTCGCTGCCCATCGTTGCTTTCTTGGATTTCATTTCACCACATATTTTTTTGGGATAATTGCCCAAATTGTTCTACAAATACTAATATTCGATCACGTGCATTTGCATATATATAAATAAAGTATTGTGAGTAATTTGTATACATATAATGATTAATTATTTTCTTTCACTTTTTTGCTAGCCAAATCTACTATTATAAAATAGAGTTAAGAAAAAATAAATTTTTGGTAAGTGTTTTTCCCTCCAAAACATTTTGAAAATGTATGTGATTTTTTCATTTTTTTCGTTTTTCCCGCCTAAATGAATTATTCGATTTTGTAATAGATTTATGAAAATTGGATTGAGATTATTCTTCCTTTTTTTTGTTTATTCTTACTCCCTTTGTTTAGGCTTATATTTGTTACCTTTTTTTTACATCCGATTTTTTATTTGACACATTTTATTTATCTTGCTTTTCGTTTTTTTTTATCTATTACTATAAAATAGAGTTAAAAAAAATACAATTTCGTTAAATTTTTTCCCGCTCAATTATTTCGAAAATTACCTTTTGTGGAAACTTTTTTTGAATTTATTTCACAAATCCCGCCTAAAGTTTTTGATTTGATTTTGAATAGAAAAAAACAAAATTCAGATTATTATTACACACATTTTTTAGCACCTTTTTTTTAGGAATAGATTTGGTTAATTTCTCCCTATTTTAACTCCTTCCTTTTATGAAGGGATTTGGTTAATATTTTTTGTAAAATTCGTTTTTTACTATTTGACAAATTAATATTGAATATGTTTTGAAAAGATTCCTTTATTAAATAAACAATTCCATATGTTTTAACTTCCTATTTTTTAGGTTAGGATTTGGTATATGTTTATTGGTTAAATCCGATTTTTAGAATAAGCCTAACTAAATATATTTCTTTTTTTTTTTAGGATGTGATTAAGGAAACAATTCCATAAAAATATGGGTTCTTTAGAATATGATATATTATCTTCTACATAACAGATTTCTTTTGGATACGTTTGAAAATAATTTCCATTGTTTTAAAAAGATAATGTAGGATATGTTTTGAAAAAAAAATCCTTTATTAAAGAAACAATTCCATAACATATTTGATTTTAATATTTGTATGCAAATAATTATTTCGAAATTTTGCTTATTTAAAACAATTCAACTTAATATTGGATATGTTTTGAAAATATTCTTTTATTAAAGAAACAATTTCTAACATATTCGATTTTAATATTTTGTATGCAAATAATTATTTCAAAATTCTGCTTATTTAAAACAATTCAAATTAATATTGGATACTGAAGATCACATCTATTATTTGCTTACTATATATTTAAAATTTAAAATAGGTTGGATTGGGTTTAAGGTGATAAGCACGACCTTTTTTGTTGTGGGAAATCAAACAAAAAGTATACTATTTTAGGTATAAATTCTGATTTCATTTGATAAGCTCAATCGAATTTGATTATGACCGAATCAAACAATTTTGAACAATATTAAATTAATAGATTACTTTTGAATTAATTTTAATTGATTTTCACGTCGAAAATTTTCTAAAATACTATTTTTTTTGTGGAAAATATCGGCTGGATGAAAAGGTCAAATTCAAATTAAAAAAAAAAAAAATTGTTATTTTGAAAAATATATTTTGTAAACCTTAAGTCATAAAAATATGGTCAATGATATCTTTAAATACAAAGGGTAAATATGGTCAATAATATCATAAATTATTTTTTATATTCGGGTACCCTACAAAATAATTGTTATATTCCAACGAAAAATCCTATGGTAATATATTCCAATGGAAATTCCAACGGATATTCCAATGGTATAACTTCCG